GACGAGCGGAAGCAGATACACCAGATTGCCCAGAAGTACGGCCTTAAGAGTAAGTCGCATGGGGTCGGCCACGATAGGTACCTGGTGGTAGGAAGAAAAAGACGGAAGGAAGACCTGCTAGATCAGCTCAAACAGGAAGGCCAAGTGGGGCATTACGAGCTCGTGATGCCTCAAGCCAATTGAGCTCTTAACTAATTTATTTTGTAAACGCCCAAGGAGGCAGATTTGTGAATTAAAGAAATGCCACATGTCCTGGTTGCAGAGTACATTCATTCTTAAGATGTTTCACCTTGTTCATTTCCTATAGTGCTCTATTAGCTATCGGAACCTGAAGAATTCTGTCCGCCCGTATTAGCTTCGGTCCCGCAGATGATATTGTGCAGTTACTGTTTGTGTCTTTCATATTGCTGTGTCCCTCCGATTTTAGTAGTTTGTACAAAGCAAGAACACGTATCGCAGTGGAATTTCACCCCGAGAAGGAAATTCCCATTTTAAAGGGCGTGGCACCGCAGCCTGCGGCAGTAGTGACGTTGACCATCATGACGGTCAAACTCCAGTCTGAACTTCAGACTTCCTGAAGACGCCGGGTCGTTTTGTATTACTATTTTCATCTTTGTGTGAAGCCAGTTCAAGAATGTTTAACGGTAAATTGTGCTGTACGTGTAAATGTCGTTCCCGACTAAATGATGTAAAACTTTCTTAAAGTAATTTTAGTGTTCATTTATTTATGACTTCTACCATGTGGTTTCCAGAATATTGGAAGTGATTTACTGTTACCTTGTGGTATATGAGTTTTAACAAATCCTAGTCTTTATGCCAAGAGAGCACTACTTGAGAGAGTCGTTGAGAAGTTTCACAAACTTTGACCCAACCCGAAGGAAGGAAGCTGGAGCTGTTTGTTCTTGGGGCCTCGCAGCGGGCCTCGCAGCAACTCCGCGTCACAGCCGTCCCGCCGCCCGGGCGTGCGGCACAGCCCGGGTGGCCGCGGCCGTGGCAGGACCGGGTGAAAGACCGCAGACACACTGGTGCTTGGACGAAAAGGTCAGTCGGCCGGTCCCTCTCTCACACAGCTTATTAAGCCCCAAAAGCCAACTTTGTAACATATTTAAAACTGCTATTTTCGCTTATTTCTGGAATGTAAAAAAAAAATGTATAAAAAAGAACTAGTGTATGCTTCCTGAATAAAAAGGAGCTGATGTTGATCAAAATGGCAGCGCGCTTATGTTGGGCAGCAGCCTAGGAGCCACACTTTGGGTTATCAGGAGGCGGGAAGTGGCGTTTGCACAAAATGTTTCAACACCAGAGCACACGTGGGTGAACGTAATGACTTAGCCGAGATGAACAGCTGGTTGGTCACCCGTCACTTTCCTGTGGACCGACATGCCGGCCGCAACCAGACCTCCGGCTGTGTCCTTTTATGTGATTTTGGTCTTGTAGCTCCGATAAATCAAGTGTCACTTTTCAGAGATGAATAGTAATACCGAGAGTTAAACACGCCAGTGAAATGATAGAACAATTGGGTGGTTCACAGTGTCTGGAAACATTTAGCACCATACTTGACATGTAATTGGCCCACAATATACAGTAATTTCCTTTCTCCTCTCATATTTTGGAATGAAAAAGCTGCCCATTGTAGTTAAATCAGTAGTTTAAAAAATAAAAAGGGATTGGCTTTTATACCTGGATCTCTAGGTTTTAGTCATCCACAGCTATTAAAACTGTGTGACACTTGCTTTTTACTAACTCCCTTTCTCTTACAGTGTGTGGCCTTTCCCAATGTGGGTAGGAAGAGAAATGAGGTGTGCACTTTATTTGGGCACTTATTGTTTAACAATGGCAAAGGGAACATAAGCTAAGATGTTTATAGATTTTATAGGATTTGTTTTTTAAACCTACAGGGCTCATGCCAGCCTGGAGAAGCGGTGGCTCAATTAGCAAGTTAGAAAAGCCAGCCTTAGTTCTCTTGAGTAAGAGTGGCTTTGCAGATCAAGGGGAGCCGAGGGCGGTGGTGGGGGGGGTGAAAACTCATTTCTCCCTTTACATTTCTTTTCTCTTCCCAAAATGGTTGGACAGGGGAAGGGCTGTGGGGAGTAGGGACATAAATTTGGTTTTCTTAGCTAAATTTAACAGAACAATATTAACGTAGTAAGAGGGCTCCCAAATAATTGGGCCAAATATACATTTGGTTCTGGGTTTGAGGGTCCAGATTTGCTGACTTTTTTTTTTTTTTTAAGATTTTGTTTGACAGAGATCACAAGTAGGCAGAGAGGCAGGCAGAGAGAGAGGAGGAAACAGGCTCCTGGCCAAGCAGAGAGTCCAATGTGGGGCTTGATCCCAGAACCCTGGAATCATGACCTGAGCCAAAGGCAGAGGCTTTAACCCACTGAGCCACCCCGGCGCCCTTGTTGACTTCTTAGATCAGCTTTGGTATTCATGTGGAATTAGGTTGAAGTCACTTAACTCTGCTTGACAATAAAATACATTGAGAATGAGCTGCTGACAACCTTGCTGTCCTGTTTTGTCCCCATTCTGTTCCCCATTCTCTTGGCTCCTCTATTTTCCTTTCCTTCTAAAGAGCAGTCATTTGTAACTCAGTAACTTTGCTGTAAAACCACAGATAAATGAACTGCTTCAAGTTTTATTTGAACTAAATAAGTTATACCAAAGAAGTAACTCTTTCAGTTACATATATAGCCTCGAGTCTCACAGATCTACTTTTTAGATTTTTTTTTTCCTCTCCTTTGATTGCAAAATGAATGGGAATTTCATGCATTCTTTTGGGAAACTTTTTTTTTTTAAAGTAGGATACAGTGCATTGACTTTGCTGTGAGCCCTGAAGCTGGAGATGGGTCTTAAATAAAGGACTTTTGATTATAACTTGATTACAATCCTCATGGTTCTCTCTCATGCCACCTTCCCCATATCAGAAGGGGCAGAATTGAAGACTCAGGTTCCAATCAGACTGCCATTTGTAAGGGGACCTTACAAATCTGTTTTAACCTTACTGTTCTAATTATATGCGGGCAGCCTGTGGCATTTGTTAAAACAAACAAACATTGTAAAGAAAAAAAGGCAAATTAGCATTAAATGTTTGGTTTGTGTAGTGCCTTTGACCGTGGACATGATGCTTTTAGAGATCAGCTGTTGTAAAGGATACATGGATAATCCAATGGAAAAGATGGTGTTTCTCAGGAGGCGTGTAAAAAGCAAAAATTAAATCTGCCCGTTATGGATCTCACCTTAATTTTTTAAAGTGTGACTAATAGTGTCACTATTTAAGGTACCCAGCCACAGTAGGATGAAAAAGTTAAGGTAAAATAATCTACCAAATAAAGACCAATTTAATGTGGTTCTACTCTGAAGCAGAAATGGACTTAAGGGAAAGTGTGAAGCACATTTAAGGTTGATGCTCCTAGGTGGGGTCAACCAGTACGTGCATTGAACGAACTCTGCCACACTGGGGTTCCTTTAGGGGCCATGTCTTAAAGGATGAATATAGTACATACCTCATGAAGAATGCACAGAGGGAGAGGGAGAAGCAGACTCCCCACTGAGCAGAGAGCCCGATGTGGGGCTCCATCCCAGGAACTGGAGATCATGACCTGAGCTCCCCAGGTGCCCCATATAAAGACTTAGTTTAATTTCATTTAGCCCCCTACCCTACAGTCTACAGTCACTGTTCCTGGCTCTTTAAAATGAGACCAGTTCTTCCCCAGAAGAAAGCAATTTTGTTGAAACAAGATTGAGGATACCTGTACTCCCAAACTGGGGAGTTAAAAATGCCATTTTATAATAGTTTGGTACTATTTGCTTTTAAGCTAGGGCTTCTTAAAAAATTTTTTTTAAAGATATTATTTGACAGAGAGAGATCACAAGTAGAGAGAGATGGGGGAGAAGCAGGATCCCTGCTGAGCAGAGAGCCCGACGCAGGACTCGATCCCAGGACCCTGAGATCATGACCCAAGCTGAAGGCAGAGGCTCAACCCACTGAGCCACCCAGGCGCCCCAAGCTAGGGCTTTTAAAGAGGTGGAATGTCAGGATCAACAAGGCAGATCTTGGTCCCTGGGGGCACTGGTAAATACCCAGGTTTGTCTATCTCCCCTCTTCCCAACACACACTTGATTGACCATACTATGTGCTGAGGGAACTTTGTTCTATTTAACAGTTTTACATTCTTGTTAAAACGTTAAAAAAAGAACAAAGCATTAACACTTATGACAAGAAAGAAGGTCCCCTCCAACAGTATCAACTCTTTTTCCTCTCCCAGCGTATTTTTCTTTTACCATGTTTATTTCAAGGGGGAAAGTGAGTAGATATGAGATTCCAGTAAGTTAATACTAAAAGTTCATAGTGAGCTAAAATATAATTATACCTTGACTACAAAATTTTAAGGTTATTTTTATTTACAAGTTTTGAAAAATGTACATTTTTTACATGGGTTACTTGTGCAAAAGTTAGATTTAGAAGAGTGACAAATGCACAAAAGGTGACAATGGAACATTAGACAAAACATGTACAAGCTTTGTCCCACACTGCTACTTAAAGGTACTGTCTATCTAAAGTATAAATAGCCAAAGAAAGATCACAAACGTGACTTCGAGGTTCTTATAAAACTGAAAGGGAAGACGAAACTAAAGCATGCAGCATTAACTCAGGATTTGAGTGGAAAATGGTTTGCCATAGATATGCTCCCTTCCTTGGGTTAATTAAAACTCTAAAAAAATGATGGGGGATTACAAGTTTATCTAGGGTGGCACTTGCTCCCTTAAAGATTAAAGGATCTCCCACCTTCCCTAGCTTAAAAATGAATGATTATTTCCATTCCTCTGCTCCCACACCTCTTTAAAAAGCAAAACCCCCGAAGACTTCAGTATTCTGAAACTTAGCATGGGTGAGCCCAGGGAGTATCCTTCAAGGAGAGGGTGTGTCAGTTACAATTATTGCCACGTTCCTTTGGCTGAGTCCTTTGACTTTTCCCTTGGTACCAGTAAAAAAAAAAAAAAAAAAAAAAAAACCAAAACCGTCTTGTAATTCATTTTGGCTTGATCTTAGTATTATAGCATTTTTAGCCTCCATTGCTCTTTTAGAATAGGTGTTTATGTGGATTTGTTCCCGTTTTTCAGAGGCCGTATTCCAAACTTTCACTTCTAAATCCAACGCAAGTGAAGGACCAGCCAGGAAGAAACGCTTTAGCAATCCTTTTGTTAAAAATAACATCCCGGCCATCAAGCTATGCGTAAGCACCACTTGTACAACAATTCACTTTAAAAGCTTAGTGTAGAGTACAGTAACACAATACCACCCTAAAGCTGGAGATGAGACGACAGAAGAGGGGTGAAGCATTAGTAATTTCCGCACGTAACCCAGGTACAGTACATTTGATCTCGTAGAGGGTGTTTTCTGATGTTCAAGGAGAGGGGAGAAGGGGTAGGAAGAACTCGGCAAGGGAAGATGGAAACAGCACGACAGCTATTTTGCTTTTAATAAAGTAATGTAATGACACTGAGGAATAGGAAGGTGACAAACACATCAATATATATTTTTCTTATGACCAGCCTCTTCTTTTGCTGCACCCGGGTCAACAGTCACGCCAGCTCTGTTCTACTATTGCAGAAACACGTTTCTCATATTCCCGCTTGTTCTCCTGGTACAGCTGAGCAGCCTGGCTGTTTGCTGGACTATTGGGATTGGGTTCATCCAATAGGGACTATAGAGACAATTTGTAAAAGGTCAGTTCCTCAATGCAAAAAAAAAATTATATATATATCTATATCATTCAACTGAATTGTCCTCAGTAACAACTAAAAGTTGATTTCTTAGCATACTAATCAAAGGAACATTAATCTGCTAGTAGCTAGGCAAATACATGTTTTCTGGGGGCGAGGGTCTTAATGACCTGCCTTTCACCTTAAGTTAGGACTTTCAGAAACAATTCAAGTACTAATAAAACATATCAAAGGCCACAGTTAGTCACATCAAGGAAAATTCACCTGTATGGATGTTAAAATGGAAGACACATCATAGGTTGGACTCCAGCGGTTCTGAAGTATGTCCAGACATATACTACCATCTGCATAGACTAAGAGCACAGCGGAGGTATGTTAAACGTAGTAAAACCATTCCCATTTTTAACAACACAGTCAAAACAAACATAGTCAAGAATACTTTGTGAGGTTTAAAAAGATTCCCAAACTGCTTCTCCATTATCTTCCTAAGAAGCGTCCTAATCATTTCTAGTGAAATAATCAAAGAATGTCAACTATAATTGATATAAAACTAGAAGCTATTTAGTGCTCTTTCTTCTGAAAAGACTGCCCTATTAACCAGGAAATCATACACGTTTTCCAACAGGGTCCCCAGCCATCCAGACAAGTGGGAAATTTATTCCATGAAATTTGCAAACTCTGTTTTTCTGAAATGACAAAAGATAGCTCAGAGTTCACAAGGTCTCATTTCGGCATGAAGATAAAAATATCTGATATCCCAGAAAATACTTTATTAACCTGAATAAAAAAGCAAGCTGTTCTAGGCTTACTACTAGCCATAAAAAGCAAAATGTACATCAGAATCACCCATGCTGCTTTTCCAAAACACAGGAGCCCTCAGCCACAGAATCTCCTATTCAGTAGATCAGGAGCGGGGCCAGGGAATCTCTATTTTTAAAGTGTTCCACGGCAATTTTGATCTGCATCTAAAGTTGAAAACTATTGTTTTGAATAAACAGTTCTAGATGTTGTGAAAATAGTCACAACACAAGACTACCCCAATCCAACATCAAAAGGGAACACCAAGAGCGTCCTTATTTTGGGGTAATAAGTAAATGATAAAGACCATCAAAACCAGGAGGCTCGCAGACACCAAGCCAAGGCAGAGTACCTTCACTGCTCCCGTTCTAGGACTAGAGATCAGGACCACAACGGACCATCATGAACAAGCTGTTTTCAGGAAACGGCAAGAGGCCTAAACACACACTCAGGTACTAGGGACAAACACCTAAAAAACGTGGAGCACCACCCGTAATTTACCATGTAGTTTAAAACAGTGCATTAACAGGGCACCTGGGTGGTTCAGTGAGTTAAAGCCTCTGCCTTCGGCTCAGGTCGTGATCCCGGGGTCCTGGGATCGAACCCCGCATCGGGCTCTCTGCTCAGCAGGGAGCCTGCTTCCTCCTCTCTCTCTGCCTGCCTCTCTGCCTACTTGTAATCTCTGTCTGTCAAATAAATAAATAAAATCTTAAAAAAACCCAGTGCATTAAAAGTGATACTTGCCATTTGGATGAAACATCTTAGAAACAAATCTAACCGTAGGTGGCTTATTTGGATATTCTTCGGTGAATTCTATTGTAAGCTTAAATGTTCCTGTAGTTAGAAAGAAAGGTTTAAGAAACAGATTTATTGCTTTGTTCAGTGGTACTTTCTTTTTAATGCTACATGACATTTTTTCCAGTACTAAATGAAATAATGCAGATATAGGGTAGAGAGGAAAGAAAGGCCAGGTAAGAGACAAGGTAAGATCTCTGGGAACTGCTCTAAAAATAGATAGTGTAAGAACCACCACCCAAAAGGGATTTGTTTTTTTGTTTTGCCATCATTCTCCCGCAAACTTAAAAACACAGTCGTCTTAAACTCAAAAGTACTGCCTACAGGATAACTTTAGCAACTGACCATTTTGAAGATATCCTTAAAATCGCAAGAAACTATAGAACCTAAATTTGGCGCTCTTGCCTCAGAAGACTGAGACCTCAAAGGCCTATTTTAACCAGCCGCCATCTTAAACTCTCCAGTGATTCGGACATGGGCTAGAGAGAACAAGAGTACACAGGTTCCATTATCAATGCTAGAAATACAAATCGATAACCAAATTATCTTTAAAAATGGAAGGGAATAACTATAAAAGCATTCACTGGCTCCTTTTCATATAATAGCAACTCTATAATGAAAACATAATTGAATGTAAGCCAGGAAAAACGTTATAGTCTCTCTCAAAAATCCTTAAGTATGACTCACAAGGTACTTCACTATAAAATCAACTCAATTATTCACACTAGTGGAGGGAATTAATGCAGAAATAATTTAAAAATCACATCAGATTGCATTCATGTCTCCAGCAAATTTATCTATCTCATGATGTTTGTTTAGGCTACTATTGAAATGAATTCATTTTCTCTGAATATGTGTCACCTCAGGTAGCAGGAGGCCCTGACGTATACTAGGTTATAGACTTATTTATAAGGAATGAACAAAATGGATCTCATTCAAGAATTGCAGGATGTTCTGATTTAGGGAGACTGTTTCCTTCAAAATATTTTTTAAATTGGGTTTAACAAATCCAAGAAAACAATTGGGCAATTGTTTTTTCCTGACTGAAATCTCTTCAGGTAAACTTAAGGAATCACTGTCTGGTATAAGGTAATGAATGTTCCACTGTATTACTCTGGTCCGTTTATAAATTTATTCTAATACTACAGACCACACTTCAAGTCGAGCATACTTTGTTAGTGGTTCCTTCAGAGTAGGCAATTTCCTCCTTCCACCAATAGGTTTATCACCACAAAAGATAAAAAGACTACACTCAATTGCTAGATCCCTTACATAACAATGCCAAAGTTTGTCTCCTACCAGTAAACTCACAGAAAACAATCTGCTAACAGAGTTGTCCCAAGTATGATGAACCTTTGTTCCAAAGTTTCAGAATAATTTAGAGTGCAACACAGAGACATATTCCCCAAACTACTGTTACTCCATAAACTGTGTGAAAGCCAGATCTGAAGATATCGTATATTAACACTAAGGGCAAAAAGTGAAATATTTTGGAATGGAGAAACATGCTGTAGTCTATGAGAACCTACTTTACCTTATTACCACCTGGTCATAAATCTTCCTACTTTTGAGGAAGAGACATTGGTTCTTCCTTTTCAGTACCACTGATATTATAATACGCAGGAAAAAGTGCGAATGAGTGTTAACTTTGAGCTTCCTTATGCATCTCAAGTATAAACACATTTGGCTCAATGTTGAAATCTGATTAAATTATAGGTAAGAGATTTCTCATCATGGAATTGCTCTAAAAGTGGACAGATTTAATAGCACACAGGTACTAGGTCCCAGGTACTTTAAATTAAGACCATCATTAAATATGATGTCCAAGAGCGGTAAAGCAACACAAGACAGGCCTAAGTGGAAACGGTAGAGCATAGCAGGGAAGAGCGCAGCCTTGCAGTCAGACCTAGTTATGAGACCTTGAGGAAGCCACCTGACCTGACTGAACCTCAAGTTCCTCATCTGTAAAATGGGGTTAATGATAATACCTACCACATTACATTGTGAGGTTTAAATGAGTGACATGTGCACAGTGACACAAAGTAAGCACTCTACAGGGGCGCCTGGGTGGCTCAGTCGCTGGGCGTCTGCCTTTGGCTCAGGTCATGATCCCTGGGTCCTGGAATCGAGCCCCATATCGGGATCCCTGCTCGGCGGAAAGCCTGCTTTCTCCCTCTCCCACTGCCCCTGCCTGTGTTCCCTCTCTGTGACTTTTTGTCAAATAAATAAAATCTTTAAAAAAAAAAAAGTGTTCCATAAATATGGTAGCTATAATAATTCCAATATTTCACATCCCTAGACCCAACTGAAGGAGGCAAAGACCAAACATCCTAACTTGACTATCAGTAAGAAATATACAATTAATGAGTTTAAATATTAAATATTACTTTCTTTCTGACCTACATGAAATGCTCACAGCTGAATTCAAGTTGAGTATGTAGGCTGGTGGCTCTCAAAACCCTTGACTTGAACTTTCTACCTAATACTTGCCCAGAAGTTTAACACTAGCTACCAAATAAGTTAATCAAGTCTTTTCAAACAGCTCGCTTACTATCTTGAGAAGCGAAACAACCTGCTTATGTCTACCTGAATATAAATTGGGAACTTACCCCAAATCTTATTGCAAATACGTATTTAAAAGGGAACAGTTCACACTTTTAGCCACATTATACTATTGGAACCTTTTTAATACAAGCCTCAATGCAATTTCTGAGATCCAAAACAAACGTTAAGGAAATTTAAAGTCTTAGAATATTATGCAATTGAGAATAGTGCTCATCCTCTGGATATTTAGAAGGTTAGGCTTTAAAATAACGGAAGACTTAAGCCTCGCCATTGTACACACAATCTGTACGGCTTTTGTTCATCTTCCTGAGGAGGCCAAAACATCATAAGGAAAGTATCAATTAATCCATCTAAACAGGGGACTGGGAAAAGTATATGTGTTCAATGGCAACGGTATGGCGATAGGGAGCGATATGGTTGGATCAGAGAGTGTATGTTCTGCTAAAGACATTCACAAATTCAAATTTTTGAAAATACTGTGTCAGCCAAAGAAAACATCTGCGTGTTTTCTGCCATTTGGCCACCAGCTTGTGACCCCGGAGGAGAAAACAAAGTATGTGCACCTAAACAAAATTTCTTTGATGAATGGAAATTCTGGTTTTTTAGATAATAACCCAAATACTCTTCATAGAATGTATTTACCTTAAGAACACCCCCAGTGGTTTTTAAGTAATTTTTAAAAAGACTTACAACCAAACTCTTACAAAAAACAAATACTAGTATCGTACTGTGTGTATTGACAATTTTTAGATGATGTGATGGAGAATACTTTATTCCATAGTCTTTGTATTTAGCATACATGCCAAGGTATTTTGATGAGGAAGCATTGCCCCCCAGTGTTTTGTGTGGTAGTGTAAGTTCTTGAGAACATTTTCCTCTTACTTTATGTGTGTAAAGTTAAATCAAAATGCCCTCAAGAGTTCCTTTTCTCAAGTCTTCATCTCTTTAACTGGGGCCTGGCTGTTCCAGAAATGTCCACCACAAATGATTTACAAGGAAACAGCAAAAGTAGTTTTGGGGCTGTTGATTGAGGTAATATATTGGAAATAGCAAAATCAATTACGCCACTTGTTCCTAGTCAGTCTTTTCTAGTAAATTCCCTAACTGTAAATAAAGGGTATTAAAAAATGGTCAAAATTTTTTGGGGAGCCACAGCCTATGTTCTAGACACCTGAGGAAGCATCCATGGACAGCAGACTGTTCAAGAGAATGAATCAGAGAAGGGTATTGTCATTTAGCTTGAGTAGTTCCTTTCAGCAATACCGGTATGAAGACACGCATCATCAAAAATAGAACCAGTGATGTCAACGGGGAAGATTCAGGTAGATAATGGATTCCTTAAGTACCTTCTCAATTCATACCACTTAAAATGAGTGAAGCACCCTTGAAATATTTAAGTAGCCAATCCTCCAGCAAAGCAATGCAGTCTTAATAAAGCTGTGCCCGGCATAAAGCTGTCTAAGTGAAGTCGGGAGGAAAAGAAGAAGCCAATGAAAATAAAGCCTGCCAGAGCTAAAGCAAATACACAGTTAATCTGCACACAATGCTTCAGCATAAAGAACTAGCACCGATCTAGGAGAGGGAGAGGGAAATGAAGTCGAGCTAGCTCTTGCCACGGATCAGTTCAAATGATTTACTGCACCAAAGTGGTATGTCTTTAGCATCACTCCTTGCTGCACTCCTTTCTTTTTATTGCAGCACTGAAGAGCAGTGACATTTACCCAGGGGGTGGAGACAGGGAGGAAGCTGAAAGTATTCAGGTGACTGTCCACAGTCTCCTAGGGAAATCTGAGTATTTGAGACAAATTGGAGAGTTGGCTGACACTGCCCTCCCTCATCGCATCTTGCAGACCGGTAACAGCAGAAAGCAATCCGACTCGGCAATATAGGTATATACTTAGTACTTTGCAGAAGTGTTTTTGATCCCCCCCTCCAAACTGAGTTCTATGTATGTGTGTGTTTGTGTGTGTGCAGGTGTGTGCATGTGTGTGTGTGTGTGTATATCAAACATTAAGTGAGTAAAGAAAGATGGTCATTGAAAAAAGTAACAAAGATGCTTTTCTTTTTCAAATACCTCAAATATTAAAGATGTCGATCAGTAGTTCAAATACTTTTAATTATGTTTTAAATGTATTAAGCGTTCCAAAAACAACTATACACACATGCACACAACTGAATGCACATAAAACTGTATCAATGTCAATTTCCTGGTTGTGATATTGTAGTACAGTCATTCAAGATGTTACCAAAGGGGTGGGGGAATGGGTGAAAGGTATACAAGGTGTCTCTGTATTATTATTAATTATAACCACACACAAATCTGTAATTGTCTCAAAATAGAAAGTTTAAAAAAAACTTAAAAAGCAAGTAACGTGTTTTTAAAAGTCAAGCTTAAATCCATTAAAAATCCTGTACCTATAGGTACACATACTACCTTCGAGTAGGCTGGAACTTGTCAAGATAGTACATTAAGGTTCTGCTCAATTCTGAAGCTGCTTTGAGAATACTGACCATAAAGTCTTGATAAAAGCACACCGAAAACTCATTTAAAAATAAGAAACAATGTTATAGTCAAGCTGGCCATTAAAGGTGCCATTAAAGACCATCTTAGAGCCATGAGACTGACAGGCATTCAACACCAGATTGTAGAAACCAGATCTATGCAAGCGACTCTCTCGCACCCATCCAACTACTAACAGATACACGTTAAGCACCTGCTGAACACAGTTCCTGCCCCTGCGGTAGAATTCTGAACTAGGTGGTCTCTAGGATCTCTGAGTCTATCAGAAAGTGGCTGGGTTGGTACTAAGTCAGTAACTTGACAGGGTGCTGAACCGAGCAGGATCACAGCCCAAACCTCAAGAAACCTTAACATCAGTGCTATGACGCTCCTTCTAAAAAGTGATCGCCTTACCCATTTTCTCTTTTTTAAAGAAGCAAGAAAAAGGGTGCAGTTCTAGTCAAGTGGACAATGGCCAGAACCACCTGCCACATATGGGAGTCCACTGAAGCCTGTAGCAGGCAGAGGCTAGGGAGAAGCGGATTCTTAAGTAGGAGGCACTTCCAGGATGACTGGGAACCCTCTCCCCCAGATGCTCAGGCTCCTGAAAGGTGGGTAAAGAAACTCTCTTACCATCCTCAAATGGGGTCCCTTCAGGCCTGCAACAGAGAGAGAGAGAGAGAGACAGTCAGTTCCCGCTTCAGGGGCTCCCCTCTCCCTTAAGGGGTTCACCTTAAGACACATGGCTATTCCCAGCTGTGCCAACTCTACCTCTGCTAAACCACGCTTCCTGGGTCCGAGAGCCAGTACACATGGGTGTCTGGGGCTCCGAACGCCGGCGCAGGTCGCCTAGCCTAACCGCCACCACTCCCGCTCCGCCCCCCTCAGAACCCCAAACGGTTCCCCTGGCAGCGGGAACCGAGCTAATCGAGGCACAGGCTCCGGGGAGGCGCCTAGGCCCAGGCAGACCCAAACATTCCCCCTTTGCCTTGCCGTCCCCGCCGGGGGGCCGGTCCCCGACGGCAGGCCGGGCCAGCCCCAGTACCCCCCCCACCTCCCGCCACCTCCCCGTAACGCAGACTCACCCGAAAATGACCGCGTTCCAAACCATTATGTTGTTCTCGGACGGAGCCCCGCTGACTCCCGCCGGAGGATCCTCCTGCAACCTTCAGGGGAAGAGACAGGGGCCCCGCGGTCCGGCACCCACGTCCGCTCCGGGCCGCCCCCCGCCGCCCCCGGCCCGCCCCGGGACCCGCCCTGCGCCCCGCCTGGCAGCTCCCCCCTCCCCGCCCGCCCCGGCCTCGGCGGTCCCCGTCGCTTTACCTCTTGAAGTCCCTCATGAGGCGGCGCCGAGCCGGGGTGGACATATCTCTAGCGGAGTCAGGGGTGGGGCATACACCGAGGTCTCGGGTCCCGGCGGACGCTGAGGAGGCCGAGGAAGCTGAAGGAGCCGAAGCGGACGCCGAGGGAGCGCCCAGAGGAACGGCACTGCCCCTCCGAAGTCGAGGGTCCGTCTGGCGCCGACTAAGCACCACCCCGGAGTAGACGGGGGCTGAACCAACCTGGAAGGAGAGGGGGGGAGTGGAACGCCGAACGCCATACGCCGGACAGGCCGTACCAAGACAGGGCGGGGGGGGGGCGGCCGGGAAAGTTGCTTAGGTCATTAAACCCCAGCGGGAGGCGGGGAGCGCCGGGCCGGTGCGGCACTGAGAGGCGCGCGGCCCACCGGGCGGAAGCCTGTAATTCACTAGGAATTAGTGCGGGAATGGGGTCCGTCTCCACCTGCCCAGGCTAAGACGAACCCTGGGAGGCTTCTTCCTATTTTCTTTTTCTATCCTTTTTTTTTTTTTTTTTCTTTTTTGGAAATCAGATCACTTATGACAGTGCGCACCGTGGCTGGGGACGGCGGGGGGGGGGTACGGGGTGGTGGTGGGGAGAAGAAGGATGGGAGTCCCTAAGTAGAAGGGAGGAGGAGACAGTGGGTGGAGGCACATTTGGTTCTCGGGAAGCGGGAACTCTAGGGACCCGGGAGGCTAGGGAGGAGAGTGTGTGACTGGTTCAAATCACTGAAAATCAAAAGAATAAATCGGCCTTGGCTATGACAAGGAGCTTGTGGGTCCCTCGTCTGTGAGATGAGAGTGCGGGATTCTGGTCCCAATGTTAGGCCAGTGATCACCCCCAAGCAGGATAAAATGGTGGTGTGTGTCCTGGGGGAGGGAATGAGAACTTAAGGCAAGCACAATGAGGTTTGAGCTCTGGGCACTCACAATTTGGCTCTGGAACCACATTTCCCCTTGGCAGTTCAACAAGCCAAGCGGCTACTATATATTCGGAAGAGTCCAAGGTATGAGAATATCCGACTGCGGAGAATTGGAAGGGCAGAGAGTCTGAAGCAAAAGTAACGGTAAGACGCAGGGGAAAAAGCAGCAGGTTGCAGAGAAGAGTCACAGTTAGTATGTGGACCTGCAAAAGCAATAACAGTTTTAAAGAATAATTTGTAAAGGTCAATCCCAAATAACTTAGAAGGTAGACAAAACACTCATTTTAAGAATTTTTGAAAATATGAGAAAGGTAAGTTTGGGTTAAGTCATGGAGAGGTGGAACGTCAAGCTAACGGATTCCTTGGAAGGTGGTGGATAGTTAGAGCCCTGCTAGTCAGAGATGGGTCCCAGGAGAGCAGCTAGGAGACACTTGGAGTAGTCTAGGTGAGAAACATTGAACTAGGCAGTGACAACAAAAATGGAGAGGGCGGGATGAATGGAGAGGACTTGGCAACAGATTGAACTTGGAGGCAAGAGAGAGGAAGGAGTCAACAATAGCTGGAGTTCTAACCCCGAGATAATGAGGGCTTTGAAGGTGCCATGAACAGAACTCGGGAACAGAGTGGAGAAGAGGGTGCTTTGGGGATAGGAAGTTTGGGAGCTTACTGAGTGCGCGGGACTGCTGAGACATCTGAGCAAAGATGTCCATAAGATATCAGATTTGCTTAAATTTGTTTCTAAGGTGGGAGGCAGGAGACACTTGACAATGGGGGTGATTCTAGCTGCTGCTTAACAGCCGGTACTTTCATGGGCAAGGATTTTGGCTCCCATTGACTCCAACATATCCGGGGTTAAGGCAAGTCTCCCTAATAGCATCACATTGTCACTGTAGTGGGCAGGGGTACAAAAGTAAGTTTAAAATCTCCTTTTCCTTTCATCCAGTAACTGGCAGTCTGCTAATACACACATTCAATCTACAAAAGCAAGTGCCTTTGTTTGCCATTGCTACTTAAGGAATGACCACAAGCTGTAGGCCAAGTTCAGTGCCTTGCAGTTCTAAGGACTGAACCACCTCCTCCCCGCCATTTGCTCACTGGCTGCCAGCCAGGGGCCATTCTCAGGTCCTAGAGGTCATCCACATTCCTTGCCACATGGCCTGCTCCACTTTTAAGCCAGCAACAGAGAACTTCTCCTCCATGAAATCCTCCTCACACTTGGAATCTTTCTTCAGGAAAACCCCAGTTCACTTTAAGGGCTTATCTGATGAGTTCAGGCCCACCCTGGGTAACCCCCACTCCCCAGTATCATCTGATCTGGACCCTTAATCACATCTGCAAAACTCTCTCACAGCAGAACCTAGATGAGTGTTTGAGTGAATAATTGGGAGAAGGTGTGTGTACATCCATGGCCAGGGATCTTCAGCTTCTCCCTCCCAGCGCAGCGGCAAGAAATGTAGCAGAGGTGTGTGAATCTATAAAGGCCGAGGGGCCGCACAGCAGAGGAAACCCTCCGTCTGGTGAGGGTTAGAACAAGCTTCCTGGAATGGGTCTGTTTCAGTTTTGTTTTAACAGAAGTGACGGCAGGGAGCGACATCCCCGGGAGAGAAGTCAAGCAGTTTCTATGAGGGCCACAGCGTGAAGGAGCACGTGCTAAAGGGGGATGATGAGACCCCTGCTTGGAAAAGTGAGGGGGACAGAAGCTGGTTAGATGCCCTCAAACACAAGGATGAGGAGGGCTTTAGGCTCGAAAAGCAGTTTGGAGGTTTTCCAGGTCTAGCTCACATAGGGGCTGAGGAGCTGCATCTACCATCCTGGAGAGCCGGGAAGGGGCTGGGACGGGAAGCTCCTGCCGCTGGACAAATGTGTCCGAGACTCACTGAAGGCCAGAGATGTAGCTGAGTTTGTGGTGGGTTTGTTGATTTTCTGAAATTCCTTTGCCCTAGCTCATGAGTAGCTCTCTGACTGTCTAATCCAGAAACCTCGGGGACACGAACCACAGCAGTTTGGAAGCCCCGTGGCACCAGGGGATGGGGAGAGCTTGCCCTTGACCGCACAGTGGAGTCACACGGCAGAAACACTGTGCCGCCACATTCCTCACCAGAAGCAGTGTTGTCACAGCGAGCAGCAAGACAGAAGATTGTCCTCTAGCAGATGATTATCAGGCCAGAACATCATCAGGCCAAGCATTCTTTCCATCCCCTTTTCACCTTGACGTCTTGGAGAAATACCCTGTGCCCAGCCAAGCACCACGCCCCTCCCCAAAAGCAGGGGTCCAGAATAGAAGCCCTTTTCAGTGAAAAGAAAAGCATATTAGCAATGCAGCTGCCGGAGAGATAAAAAGTTCCAAACCATCTCCAGGGAAGGACTTTAGAATTTTCCTAAAAGGGAGGACCGTAGTGTCGGGGAAGAATCCATTACTAGGGTAACTGTGGGATTTCATTCATGAGGCTTTCAAAACGCAGACTGGATTGTGATTTTCCGGAACTATTTTGGGTCGGGGAGAGAGAGAGAGACTGAATAAACTATCATTTCCTGCCTTATGAGGCTGTGAGTTTGTATTTCTGTTAGCCAGAGAAGGCAAGGAATTTTATTTTCCTCTGATTCCCATTTCTACCACTAACAGTACAAATGGCAACCAAGAAACAACAGAGTATAAAACCACAAGGTCTTTCTTGACTCTAGTAGCCTCAGAAGACAAGCCAAGAGAATTGCTCATAGGAAACAACAGTTGTCACAATGTGTATTCTTGGCGGTAACAGTAGTGGTCTGTTTTCCATCTATAGACTAGGCTATAGGGAGAGAAAGAGGGAGAGAGATGTAGTGGAGTTTAGATAAGTGGGGGGACATTAGGGCCGTGAACATAGACTTCACTACCTGCTAAGTTGCAGAATCAAGAACAAAGCCGTGGCAGGTGGACTGAATCACTCAGGCGCACCTTCCCCAGGATCTTCTTGTCCTCATCTCTGGAATTTGTGCATATATTGCCTTAAACGGCAAAAAGGACTTCACGCATGTAGTTAAATAAAGAATCTCGAGATGGGGAGATTATCCAGGATAAAACCAGTGGGCCTGATGTAATCACACGAGTCCTTAGGAGAGGGAAGAAAGTCTGAATTCAGAGAGAACTTCATGTGACCATGAAAACAGAGATTGGAATGATACTGCCACTAGCCAAGGAGCCAAGGGATGCTGGTAGCTTCTAGATGCTGCATGGGGCAAAATGGGTTTTCCCCTGGAGCTTCTAGGAGCAACCAGCCCTGCTGACATCCTGACTTTAAAACAGCAAGATTAATTTGGGACTTCTGATCTCCAGAACTGTAAGATAATCAATTTGGGTTTTCCTAAGCCACTAAGACTGTGGTAGCGCATTACAGCAGCAACAGAAAATGAATAGACATGGTTTCAACCCCAGGTATAGGAATTCAATCAAACTGGCCGCAGCCACCAGCAAACCACAACCAAATCCAGCCTGTCATCTTTTCTCCTAGGGCTTGCAAGCCCAAAGTGATTTTCTATATTTTTATTTTTATTTATTTTTTTTAAGATTTTATTTATTTATTTGACAGACAGAGATCACAAGTAGGCAGAGAGGCAGGCAGAGAGAGAGAGGGAAGCAGGCTCCCCACCGAGCAGGGAGCCCGATGCGGGACTTGATCCTAGGACCCCGAGTTCATGACCCGAGCCAAAGGCAGCGGCTCAACCCACTGAGCCACCCAGGCGCCCCTGATTTTCTATATTTTTAAATGGTTGCAAAAATCAAAAGAAGAATATTTTATAATATTTCATGTGTGAGGGTAATGTGAGGATAATATGAAATTCAGATTTTCAACATCCCTGAATAAAGTTTCACTGGGACACAGCCATGCTATTTCTTTTTTTTTTTTAAAGATTTTATTTATTTATTTGACACAGAGAGAGAGAGAGATCACAAGTAGGCAGAGCAGCAGGCAGAGAGCGGGGTGGGGCGGGGAACAGGCTCCCCGCTGAGCAGAGAGCCCGATGCGGGGCTCGATCCCAGGACTCTGAGACCATGACCTGAGCAGAGGCCCAACCCACTGAGCCACCCAGGTGCCCCAGCCATGCTATTTCTTTTCTAAGATTTTATTTGACAGAGATAGCGAGAGAGGGAACACGAGCGATGGGAGCTGGAGAGGGAAAAGCAGGCTCCCTGCTGATTAGGGAGTCCCATGCTGGACTCGATCCCACGATCTGGGGATCATGACCTGAGCTGAAGACAGAAGCTTATCAACCGAGTCACCCAGGTGCCTGCAGCCATGTTATTTCAAGCATGTATTGTCTATGGCTGCTATTGTGCTCCCGGAGCAGAGTTGAGGAGCTGTAACAGAGACTGTATGTGGCGTCATGATGCGGTTATAACTCGACAGCATGTTGAATGCCACGTGTATCACCAGATTATGGCATTTCAGGTTGTTTTTTTTTTTTTTAATTACACGTGCATACCCATGGTGTCAGAAAAAGAAAACAAAAAGGGTTTCGAATGTTATGCTTTTAAGGCACAGTGGAATGTAGATTACCTGGTTATCACATTAGATGTCAAAGCCCTATGTTTATTACACAATAACCCTGTAGTGTTGCTAAAAGAATCCAGTACACAACAACATTACCAAAAATAAGTGCTCATTGAGATGTTCCTGACTCCCAGGAAAGCAGTGGTTAGAAAAACTAGAAAGTTTTAAATGGAATATTTTATCATAGCAAAAATCCTTCGCAAAAATAAAAATATGAAAATGAGGCTGCAGCCACAGTAATTTTCTGAGTGGTTCATTTGTTAGCCAAGCAAGGAAAGCCATCCACTGATCATGAGTTAATTAAATCGTGTTTGATTGCCGAAGCCAAAGAAATGAGTTCAGGGAAAATAAACTTTTCAAAGGCTATTAACCTTTCGGCAAGAATAGTGGCTCAAAGAGCTGAGGACGTTGGAAGTAACACCAACAATCATTTAAAAAAAAAAAAAAAAGTAGGGGCGCCTGGGTGGCTCAGTGGGTTAAGCCGCTGCCTTCGGCTCAGGTCATGATCCCAGGTCCTGGGTTCAAGCCCCACATCGGGCTTTCTGCTCAGCAGGGAGCCTGCTTCCTCCTCTCTCTCTGCCTGCCTCTCTGCCTACTTGTGATTTCTCTCTGTCAAATAAATAAATAAAATCTTAAAAAAAAAAAAAAGGAAAGAAAACAGAGCGGGGGCATCTGGTGGCACAGTCGGTAGAGCAACTTGACTCTCGGTTTAAGCTCAGACCTTGATTTCAGAGTTGTGAGATCGATCCCCGAGTCTGGCGCCGTACTCAGCACAGAGTCTGCTTAAGTTTCTCTCTGCCCCTCCCCTCTTTCTCAAATAAATAAATAAATAAATAAATAAATAAACCAGGGAAAATGATTTCAAGTGATTTTCGTTGGCTCTCAATGAGGTGACAGTTGTTACCAATACTGCTCAGTTTTATTTTACTCAAAGAGCCGATGCTGAGTTTAAAGTGATGGAAGAATTGGCCTGTGTGGAATAACTCAGACCTCACTTATTCGGGGCGCCTGGGTGGCTCAGTCTGTTAAGCCTCTGACTTTGGCTCAGGTCATGATCTCAGGGTCCTGGGATCGAGCCCCATGTCTGGCTCCCTGCTCAGCGGGAAGTCTGCTTCTTCTTCTCCCTCTGCTCCTCCTCCTGCTCATTCTTTCTCTCTCTCAAATACATAAATCCTTTTTTTAAGATTATTTATTTATTTATTTGACAGGCAGAGATCACAAGTAGGCAGAGAGGCAGGCAGAGAGAGAGAGACGGAAGCAGGCTCCCTGCTGAGCAGAGAGCCCGATCTGGGGCTCGATCGCAGGACCCTAGGATCACGACCTGAACCGAAGGCAGAGGCTTTAACCCACTGAGCCACCCAGGCGCCCCTCAAATACATAAATCTTCTAACCGTAACACTTATTTATTTGAGAGGGGAGAGAAAGAGAGAGAGCGAGTGAGCGCATGAGTAGGGGAAGAAGCCAACTCCCTGTGGAACAGGGAGCCTGAGCTGGGACTCGATCCCAGGACTCTGGGATCATGACCTGAGCTGAAGGCAGACACTCAACTGACTGAGCCAGCCATGTGCCCCAGATGAGAATATTTTCAAAGAAGTCAAGAAAAATACTAATTCAGTACAACCTAAAGTAGACCCTGCTAAGATGTGTTACAAATATGTATGGAGCCAAGCAAAGCTTAGTTGGACAACTGTACAAAGCTTGTGAAAATGTGAGTTGTTTAAATCCTCTGGTTATTCATTATATTATTAAACTGCAGGTATTTTGCAGGAAAATATTTGAGTCTATCTTGTGTATTTCAACCATTAGTGTCAACACATCATTTGCTCATGGACTAACCCACTTGTCAGTTACACGAATTTTTGTCAGAAATAGAATCTGAAGATTCTGACTTGCCCATCCAACAGCAGTTCAATAGCTTGGCAGTGGCGAAGTTTTTCAAGTTAAAAAAAAAATTTTTGGGGGGGGCTTAGGGCTGAGGTTGAAAATTTTCTGAATGAGGAGAACCACTTGCAACCACTGTTATTGAACGCTGGATGGTTTTTTAAATTAACTTTTGCTGTAGACAAATTGTTACTTAATTCATTTAAAAGAAAATTACAAGGCAAAACACTGCTTATATGTGAAACTTACATTTCAGTAAAGTCATTTCAATGACAACTAACATCGTCTCAATTGCAAGTAATGTCATTACTTTAATCTCTTCCTGTGCTGTCAAAAATGAAAACAAAAATCAAGATTTGCATTCCCACACCAGTTTGCAATGAATATCTTTTCTGAGCTCAAATTACAATTCCAGCGGTGTTTTGCGAAAATTGATGCAAAGTGCAAAGGAAATTTCTATATTTAAAAAGTCATTTTCACTGGGGGCGCCCGGGTGGCTCAGTCGGTTAAGCCTCTGCCTTCAGCTTAGGTCATGATCCCAGAGTCCTGGGATTGAGCCCCGATATAGGGCTCCCTGCTTGGCGGGGAGCGTGCTTCTCCCTCTCCTGCTCCCAATCCCCCTGTTAGTGCTCTCTCTCTCTGTGTGTCAAATAAATGAATGAAATCTTTTTAAAAAATCAACTTCAGGGACACTTGGGTGGTTCAGCCAGTTAAATGGCTGCTTTTGGCACACATCATGATCCTAAGGTCCTGGGATTGAGTTCTGCAACGGGCTCCTTGCTCAGCGGGGAGCCTGCTTCTCCCTCTACTTGCCACTCGCTTTGCTTGCGTGCATTCTAGCTCTCTGATTTAAAAAAAAAATCATTTTCACTGTGCATTTTAGGAGCTTCCACCTAAATTTCAATTGGAAGTGATTATTCTGTATGCAATGACATGCTAAAAGGCAAATATCAAGAGAAGAATCTAATTGAATTCATAAATGCCTTCTAAAAGATGAATATGCTCAATTAAAATCAGGTATTTTGTATCAGTATTTGGCAGTACTTAGGTGTGTTGAAACTTTTTTCAAAGATGAAATATGTAAAATATCATTATAGATAAGTATTAACAGATGAATATTCGCAACTGATTTATTTCATTAAGACCTTTATTAATGGGTTCTGGTGGCACAGTCAATTAAGCATCTGACTCTTGGTTTCGATTCAAGTCGTGATATCAGGGTCATGACATCAAGCCCTGTGTTGGGTTCCACGCTCAGCACAGAGTCTGCTTAAGACTCTCCTTCTGGGGGCACCTGGGTGGCTCAGTGGGTTAAGCCTCTGCCTTCTGCTCAGGTCATGATCTCAGAGTCCTGGGATCAAGCCCCACATTGGGCTCTCCTTAGTGGGGAGTCTCTCTGTCTCTGTCTCTCTCTCTCTCTCTGCCTGCCTCTCTGCCTATTTGTGATCTCTGTCAAATAAATACATAAAATCTTTTTAAAAAATCCACTATTTTGGTGTCTTCATTTGGATTTTTGAAGTTAGCCAATGTAAACTGTCTCAGTGTCCTTGTTCTAGATTGCTCCAGGCTCTTGTCCTCCACAAAGAATGTACTGGAAGAGTTTCAGTATCTTCAGTTTCAGTATCTTCCAAAGAAGATACATAAATAACCGATCAGCACATGAAAAGGTACTCAACATTAGCCACTAGGGAAAGGAAAATCAAAACCACAGTGAGATATCACTTCACACCCACAAGGATAGTTATGATCAAAAAGACGGACAAAAATAATTGCTGGTGAGATTACGAAGAAACATCATATATATATTCTGGTGGGGATATAAAATGGTAAAGCTACTTTGGAAAACACTCTTGGCAGTTCCTCAAAAGGTGAAACATAAAATCACCATATAACCCAGCAATTCCACTCCTAAGTATACAATGAAGGGAACTAAAAACATGTCCTCACAAAAACTTGTACACCAATGTTCATAGTAGTATTAATCATTATATCCAAAAAGTCGGAAAAGCCCAAATGTCCATTACCTGATGAATAAACAAAATGTGGGATAGCCATACAACAGGATTTTCAGCCATGAGAAAGAATGAGGTTCCCTTTTACTGATTCATTACTAATTTTTACCCGTTCGTGCTACAACATGAATGAAACTTGAAAACATATTGCTAAGAAGCCGGACACCAAGAGCCACATGCTGTATGATTTCATTCATATGACATGTCCAGAAGAGGCAAATTCAGAGAGATTGAAAGTAGATTCGTGGTTGCCAGGTGCTGGGAAAAAGTGGAGAGTGACTGCTAGTTATATGGGATTTCTTTTGGGGAAGATGAAAATGTTCTGGAATTAGTGGTGATGGTTGCACAACTTTGTGAATATATTAAAAACCACTGCATTACACATTTGTTTTGCATTATACATTTTTAAGGGTGAATTTTATGTCATATGAATTATATCTCAAGTTTAAAAAGATACCTCTACTTCATTAGGTACTCACCTGAGTATAGCCATTAAAACCAAAATCCTATTTAGAGGAACACCTAAAACTTGTATTATCCCTATAATATGTAAACATAGTTCTTTTTTATATCTGGTTTTATGTAACTGCATATACATACATGTACAGAAATATATATGAATAATTTAAATGGTATTAATGGTGTCCCAAGTAAAGCAGTCCCAGCTAACTCAGGCCAAAGCAAAGGAGGTTCTGAGAGCTCAGGACGCCCCTGCGCATCCGGGTCAAATGGAACGGCCCGGAAGTCCACCGGCCAGCTACTGACACGTGACCAGCGTTGAGGCTGGGAAAAGGCTTGGCGCCCGTCTGTGACCTCATTTCTGCGCGACCCTTATTTTTGGCGTAGAGTTTTCGCGCTGCTCCTGTAAAGGATGCCGAAAGTTGTGTCCCGGTCGGTGGTTTGCTCCGACACCCGGGATCGGGAGGAGTATGACGACGGCGAGAAGCCCCTCCACGTCTACTACTGTTTGTGTGGCCAGATGGTCCTGGTGCTGGGTGAGTAGTCGGGAACCGGAGGGCGTCTGCAAGAAACGAAACTTCGGGTTCTCAAGGGCGGGTTTTTTCTGGCTGTGATCTGGGAGACGCATCTCTTTGAAGATTGGTGGGCTTTCCTGCTCCATGCTGATGCCTCCCTGCCCTACTCCAGGGCAGCTTTTCTGCTTAACCTTCTGTGTATCCAGGCTTCCCTCAAAACTAAATTCCTCCTTCAGAAAAAATTAACTGTTTATCTCCCTTTCCTCCCACTCCGCTTCTAGAAACGTTATAACCTTTCTCCTGCATGCTAGGAGGCTGTCACAGCTCTTACCTTAAACGAGAATAAAGCGTTCCCTTGATCCTACGTTCTCTTCCAGCTG